CTGCAGTTGTTGCGGCTGGCAAGTCTTGTTTGCCGAAGAGCATTCTCTACGCCAAGCAGTGGGCTGCATGCGTTTTGAGCACAGCACAAGCTGCGCATGCCCTGAGCCCATGGAAAGCGCGTTTAAGGCTTGCGAGGAGCTGTCGTTGTTTGTAAAAGAAGACGCGTTGGTGGTCAACAAGTGGGCATGTGATGGGGAAGGGTAGGCTTCCTTTCCGCAAAGCTTTCGCGGCGAATCCGCAAATCCGCGTTTGGGATTTGTGTTTGGGTTCCCTCCAGCCTTTTGTAGCGCACGTCTCAGTCCCTTCATTCAACAGCACTGCTTCATCGTTGGCACCATTGTCATTTGCCCCTCTCGAAACAACGTGTCAGCACAAACAAACATACGTCGTAAACCCTTCCGCCGCTTCTGGTCACCTATGGCCAAAATCGGGGAATCCCCTCACCCTTTGGCACCAAGCAAAAGAAGGCCGACTTCCTCCGGCCTGGGTTCAGGTTCAGCTGCAGGAAGCTCAACACCTTGGACTCCGAGCGCTGCTGCTTCTGGGGCAAAATCTGGCTCAGCACGCCGAAGAGCTGCACCACCTGCGACGTAAAAAAAAAAAAGAAAAAAAAAAGAAAAAAAAAAGAAGAAAAAAAAACAAAAAAAAATAAAAAAACGCTGAGGGGGGATGTTTGGCCTGGTTCTTGGTTGTGTTCGTTTGGTTTTTGGGTTTGGTGTTGGTTTGGTGATCAACTTGTCAACTTGGGTCGTCCCCCATCTCCTGAATGAATCACGGGCTAGCAGTCATGGTGTCTGTTGCTTCATGGCACTCCACTGCCTGTTCTCCTCTCAGTGATCCGAGAGTGCCTTTCAAGATCCTGAAGGATTCAGGAAATCGACGGCAGAAAGTTGTCTTTTTTTTGGCCAATAAGCTAGGAAGCAAAGTTGCTTACTGCCCTGACCATCACCCATCACCATGTTTGCCACTAAAACTGTCTTTCCAAAAAGTACAAAGTCCAAGTCTCATATGAGACTTGGATGGCAGCGCTGTGGAATGAATCCTTGTCCACTGTCCTCTTCCTTCATGTCATGGACACTCCCGAACGAAGAGAGGAGTGGGAATGGGAGATGGGATTCCTTCGTCATCTCCCTCTCTTTACCATTCTATTTTCGTATCTTGGATGTTCCGGAAGTTACAGAAGAAACAGACCGGAGGAGAAAGGTAATGATAGAAAAGCAACTATAAAATGATGAAGGAATGACTCCAAATGCTTCCGTTCACTCTCTCATTCCCTTCGCTCATTCACTTCATATCCACAGCCAATTCTAGTTGGGCATGTGTGCTTTTGAGGGTGCGCCGTTTGGGAGACTGTCAGACAATTTGTTTTGGGGAAGCCACCTCGCTTGCCCAAAGGACCTAGAAATACCAGGTGAACCTTTTGGTAAGGTTGGCTTTGAACAGCTGAGCCACCCATTGGGAGATCTTAGCTCCCCTCAACCCATTTCCTTGGCGGGGGCTCCCCACCTGCACAGCTGCCAGCACCTCCCGCACCAGGCACGGCCGCAGCGCGTCCCAGGCCGCGGGGGGCCGCAGCAAGTCTTGGCGAACACGTTTGCGCGGCCAGAAGCCTCGACACGTCAACCCCCGACAGCACATTCGTCCAATGTGAGGTCTGCAAACCCCCTACAATTGAAACCTAAAGGACAAGGTCAACCTGAGGTCCTCGGAAGAAACACCCGAATCCATGGAAAGACAGAAAAAGGGCAGCGCCTTCTAATTACCCGGGTGTTGATTGTGGATCAGGTTGGGCCGCGCGTTGACGGAAAGGGATGGCCTGCTGTGCCAAAGTGCTCAACCAGAATTTGTTCATCCAGGGTCAACAAACTCAAAAACACGAGAAAGGGTTTATGGGTCTTCTTTTGGTTTCCCTTTGGGCCAGCAGAAAAAGGCGAGCACAAGAGGCCACGAGCATCTACACCTGTCTAATCTGATCCTGCAGTATTCCAGTTGAAAATCAACACACAACCCAACGACCTTCCAAACCCGAAAAGACATTCCTAATGGGCCCTTTGGCTTGCAAAACACTAAAATGCTGGAGGTTGCCATGCCCATTGTTGCCTAGATCACTCTGTGCCCTTTGATACCCTTCAACAGTACGAAAAAAGGCACCCACTTCTGCGATACCACTGGAAGGCCTTCTCAGGTAATTATTCACTTGCCAGGCTGTGGGACACATCCACCTTGCGATTTGCCCTTTTCCGCTCCACCGAACACCCCCCCCCCCATAGACCTCCCGCCCCTGGGCCCTCGGACGCCACACGGCCCCAGCGGCCAGGCCCGGCAGCGCCAGCGACAGCACCACACCGACGGCGATCTTCGGAGTCAGCGCACGCTTCAGCTCTTCCGTGGTGCAGGCCCGGCCTCTTGAATGGGCACCAAGGGCGCAAAAGCTGGCAAAGCGCCAGAACGATCGGATTTGACTTAGCCATACGGGGTCCCAAATGTTCAAAAACAAGAAGTGAAAGAGCACCACAAAGCAAACACACCCACTTGGCCTGGGGCGCAACTGAGAATGGACGCTTGCATTCTTTTCGGCCGGCATCCAACACACCCTTTGGCCCTTTGGCAATCTGGCACATTGGCACCAATCAGCCATCCAAACCACCGGATCAAGCCCTGCTTTCCACTTTTTGAATCCTGGGCACTTCAAAAGCCTCCGATCATCCAGTCCCCCTTGGCTCCCGCGCACAGGCCGTTCCGCAGGAAGTGCTGGGGCGCGCACTGCCGACACTTAGGGCCCTCGTGCCCAGGCAAGCAGATCTGGCCTGCAGTTCCGATGCGGCGAAACAAACAAGTCGAGAGCCTTGGCCTGGAAAGAAAACCATATGAGCAGCACAAAACCCACTCTCTTTTGGTTCTGCCAACATACTTACAACGGTTTATACACGTTTTCTTACGACTCCCGTGAAATACGGTTGCAGGACAACCTGCTAAAATGGCAGTTTGGGCACTACTCAACTGTTTGACGAACCGTTCAACCCGTGCAGCACGGCATCCCCCCAATCAGCCCCATGTCTGAAGCGCGTAACAGGGAAAAGGCTTCACTATGATATCCCCTAAAAACAGTCAAAGTCAGGAGAAGCAAACACACCTGGTGACCTTCTTGAATCGGTGTAAAAACTCTTCTTGTATTGAAGAACATCAGAGAAGATAACCCACCAAGAAAGGTCTCTGTTCTAAGTGTCAAACGCTGGGTTGCTCCCAAGATCCTGGCACAGCAGCAGGAATCCGGTAAGGAGCCAAACGGTACCATGTGTCTGCGCCGTGGTCGGGACTTCCTGACTTAGAGGCAGCGCAGTGGCGTCCTCCCCGGGGAACGACAGGCCACGTTGACTCGTGCGACGCACGATCCGCTTCATCCTTTCCACTGACTCGCCTCCCAGTGGTTGGGATTTTGCCTGCTGAGCTGTCTGATCACGTGTCCTCGTTGCTGACATCCAGCCAGGCGCCGCCGAGAGCTGATCCCGCATCAAGGGATCTGAGCAAACAGCGTCTGGAATCTGAGCAAACATCTGAGCAATTCAGCCAGTTCGTCCAGCCAGCCAATACGCGTTCCCGCCACTTGCGCCCCATGCCCAGGACCAGGGGCCAAGTGAGGAAGCAGAAGCGAACGCTACACGAGTCAACACGCCAAGCATAAGGAGCTTTGAGCCATCGTCTTGAGGCAGCCACTTAGACGGAAGAGCTCTATAACGAAAAGAACTCGTCTACACGATTGAGAATCTCCAGCCGAGAGGAAAGGGCACTGACAGATCTATCATGGTGACATGCTGCACGGCTCGCGAGGAGAACCGCCACCTACAACTTCAAGTGAGGGCTGAAGGGTCCTGGAGTGGGCATGTTGTACATGGTGTAGCGGCTTTTTTGTGAAGAGCGTGCCACAGCATACAGCTCCAGATCACGGCCTTGCCGGCCCTGTGATCGGCTCATCAAGCCCCAGCTTGAGTTCCCCACTGACCTTTGCTGAACTCACAAAATCCTTTTGGAAGGGTCCGCTACTCCAAAACGAGATCGAAAGGAAATCCAAAGGGATAACCATTTTGAGGGTAGCAAGCCAAACCAAACGAGCCCTTGCAGGGGACAACCCCACGCTGCGCGCCTGGAGCGCCGCCCCGACAGGCGTGGCCCTCCCCATGGTGCGCGCAGCGCAGGGGGTGAAGGGAGGCGCTGCTCCGCCAAAAACCCTCCTGCGAACCGACAACCGAAAAGCAGCACCGAAGTTTGGTTGAGTACGGCAACGAATTGGGGTGGCTCAATAGGCCAATAGGTCTCATGCGAGCAACCCGCCTTACATCCAAGAGCTGCGCGCAAGTCTCTCAGCCGAAGCCTGAACCTTGAACGACGCTCGATGCACGCTTTACCAACAGAAGCGCCATATCACCAGCACCAAACAAAGCGCCAAGCACTGGCATATCCCCCTCCACTAGAATCCCCAGCATCGTTTGGTCATTCATGGCAACCGCTCACAGCTAAGCCGCTAGAACCCCCAGAAACACGAAATTGGGTGCAGCCGAGCTTTTCTCTATGCGAAAAAATGCTCTGCAAATACTTGGAAAACTTCCGGCAATTGAACCCCAAGGGCGGATCAACCCAAAGGTCGCATTCTTTCCGTCATTTGATCCCCGAGAGAAAAGCAAACCCTGGCTTTGCCCAGCCTCACCCCTTTCAGTGAGCTCGGAACCAGAAATTTGTGGGGATCCCACACATTGCGAAACCCGTCCACTCGAAGCGAGGAAGCAAACTAGGCGACTTCCCAAATTGGTAGTGTCCTTTTGCTTTCCCTCCGAACAGACAATCCAAAAGCTGGTGCCCGCAAAAGACACGCATCCATTCCCTTCAAGGGGGTGACATTCCCTTCAGGCGGGTGAGCATCCGTGCTTGACCATGTCACATATGGAGAGCAAGAAGAACATGCTTAAAGGCGACATGTGTGCCATGATCAATACTTCATACAGTTGTTTGAACTCCCTATTGAAGCGCGCACGACCGCCCCGAGAAACCCAAGTGAAGTCCTAATACCCTCAGCAAGCTTTGCCTGAGATATCTGAAACTCAAAGGTTGATGACCATTCCTAGTAACCTCAAGCAAGAGGGTCGTTGGACCAGTAGACTTAAATTAGCAGCCATGCATAATCTTAAGGTCAGGACCATCCCTAGCGGCGCACAGCGTCATTACAATAAAATGGCCCAACCACTTTGGTTTGTATCTTTGCTTCTTCATGCTATAAGTGAATGTAAGTTCCAGATGTTGCAGGAAACCAACTCTTAAGATTCAGTTTGTACCTCAAGCCCTCGCTCTCCTGCACCGGCACCGCCGCCAAGCTCACATTGGGCTGCGAGCAGTCGAAGGCGCCGCCACCCTGCCAAGCAATTTCGCGGTCCCTTGGTTGCTTGGTTGGGCGATTGACGGACGGACTGACGCACGGACTGGTTGATTGATGGGTTGATTGGTTGATTGGTTGGTTGATTGGTTGACTGGTTGGTTACGCTTGATTGATTGGAAAGCCAAGCTGTCAAGATCAGGCCACCGCCACTAGTCGAGTGTAGACACTAGGGACTCTCTTGTGTCTGGAATGAGCGTCTTCATCCGGATTCTTTCTCAGAGCCGAAGGCTTGCGGTGCTCCCAAACTTGGCTCAAAGTCGGGGAGAACCCAAACTTGCATCTGTTTCAGCGTGGTCTTGCTTATTGAATTTCGCCTGGGGCTCCAGGGTTGCATCGCGACTAAAGTCGGTCACGAGAGGCGCCTGGCATTTTGGGCTGGTTGTTTCGCGCTATGCGTGTCTCAAGGTAAATGCCGCTCTGGCTCTGCAAATGTGTGTGTGTGTGTGTGTGTTTCTTCCGAATCCCAAAAGGTACACGCCCTTTTGGTCCATGGACGACAGCTATTTTTCTCAGAAAGAACCTTGAAAACTGTACTTCTCATGAAATCACCGTGGGTCTCCGACGGGTTTCTGCCCAGGAATCCTCAGCGTCGTTACTTTCTCCTTGCATTCGGGTGGTCGGTCTTCGATGTGGGCAATGGCATCAGCGTTGCTGCGAGCCTCCTTGTATCCTATTCGTAGCATTTGTTTCTTCTTTGCGAAGGGCGTCGGCGGCTGCCCTCCTGACGCTTCTTTATGCCTCTGGAGAAAGAAAACTGAAAACAAAACAAAACAAAAGCAAGCCCCGACCAACAACATGGTGCGGCAAGAAGCAATATATTATTTGTATGGTGCTTGTCGTGGTGTGTTTGATTGTACCCCAGGTGAGCACTCACTTAAGTCACCTGCCCCGGGGCCATGTTGTACTCAAGCCTACAAAGCCAAGGCCCCAATTTGGGCTTGCTGGCGGAGCTTTGTTTTCATACAAAGGCTGCAAAGGAAGCTTGGCGCCATGTGGATATCAAATATCTCCGCACTGAGTTGGCAGAGACCGTAACTAGTGCCCAAGAAACTCATCTGGGTTGAATCCACTTTTGGCGATGTGGATGTTCACCGCACACATCTGCAAAGTAGGACCTATGACCCCGAGCGCGGACACGCGCCTCCAGCTCGGAGCACAGCAAGCAGATGGAGGCATTGTCCACGTACCCGGCCTCGCACACGCAGCTGGTGCTGCCCGGGCCCAGCGTCTGCTGTGAGCTCGGGCAGGCGCTGCACTCCTCCCGAGCCGAGCGCGGTTTATACGGGAGGCTTTGTGGTTTGCACTTTACCAAAGCACATTGCGAAGAGGTTCTTGGAGTATTGCAGCTTGTTTCGTTGGACATGCTCCAAAGTTAGGAGGAGCGCCACCTGATTGAGCGATGTGCCCAAAGGACTTGGCTTGTTTTTCGAACAGGAGCTTCTCAAAATCGGCACTGGGATGCTTGCTTGGTTTTCATTGCCAACCCTGCCCCCAACTACCCCGCTCAACTCCCGCACTGACCCCCACCCCAATTCTGCCTGGTGATGGCTCAGAGAATCAGTATTGGTGAACGTGTTGTCCGGGCACAAACTGCAGCTACCGCCACGTTTCCCCTTCCGCCACACGCTGCCGGGGGCACACAGCCGCTGCCTGGAAGCGAGCAAGCGACTGCTTCTCACGCGGTCGCAAAGTCGAGAAGCCTTCTACATGTGCAATCACCTGAAATCTATAATGGCTAAAGTGGGCACCTCTTCATCACCATAATTTCCACGGCCTGTGGCAATGGTTCACAACCGCTCGCTCAGCACTGAGAATAAAGCAAAGAGGGGCCAGTTCTTTAGTCTTGCTACCTGACAATTTCACTTTGATGCTCTTGTCCAAGGTGATGATGGAGGTGAGATCAAATCGAAATCACAAGTGTTCGAGTCCAAATCCGATGTTGACACACAGCTTGGGATTTTGCATGGTTCACAACAATCGCCACTGTTCCCCCCCTTGCCCCCCGCCCCCACGCTGCCACCGCCTCTCGACTAGCACCCGAGCACCCAGCGTGCCATCCTCGCCAACCATGGCC